TTTTTGTATCAATAATATGATAGATTAGAGCAGAGACACTCGCCGGCGGCTTGGTGGCGCAATAACACGTAATTTCTGCCTCCGACAAGAATTTTAACTAAGACATCGGTTTGAAAATTGTAAAATTAAATTTTTTAAGTGACAAAAATTATATTTTAAAGCATTTTCCTTTACAAATGTTCCATTAAATTTAATTACTCAAGGAAATAGGTTTAACCCAACACCAAATCTTTTTATTTCGCGAAAAAATCCGGCAAATTGCGTTAAATGAAGTAAGTTAATTACTCGCTCACTTCTAATAAACTAGTAAATTATCGTGTTGGAAAAGCTCTAACCGCTAGTGACAGGTGCACTTTGTTACTTTTAATCGATTCTCTTGAAATCTATGAAAAACAAAGAAGATATTTAAGTCTAATTTAAACTTATCAAGCAAATGAAACTCCTTTATAAGCGAATCTTCCAATTTGAAATAACTAGATGTTGTTCCTCGCATTGTGATGGACTGAATTGTAATTAAATTTTTCAAGTGGCTTTTGTTTTGTTTCAGACTTAACCAAAATAAAAATAATTGCGGTAGGGTAAGTCCGGGAAAGATGCTGTAATTTTTTTTTGAAAATATCATTCATTTAAAATTTCAATCGAAATGAACTGAATTTTGGTCCACAGTTGTGGAGAAAAAATAAAATCAAATTTGAAATTCTAAGACTATTTTACGTTAAAAAACAAAAAATTGAGGTTTTCTGATTATTTACCTTGATGGAAAAAATTCTTGAATTCTCATTAAGTTTCATTAATGAACAGAACTTTGACTAATGTTTTAAAAACTATTGGAAAATAAAAGCAAATTTTAACTTTTGAGATGATTTTTCATAAGAAAAGCTAGTTATCCATCTTCATAAAAAATATTTTTGGAAATATCACATTTTTTTTTACCTCAACGAACTGAATTTTGATTCATGTCTCAAAAACTACAAGTCGTAGATGAAAAATAAAAAGAGATATTTTCATTAAAAGTTTTACAGAATAGTGAGCTGAAACTAGTTTCATGCTTCGCAGTTATTTACACTTACTTTAATTTCACACCAACTTGAAGTAAAAAATCACAATAATTTACAGTCACCTTGTATAATAATATAAATTCTAAATTGTCTTTTGCTAGTTTATTCTTTCTTTCTTTCTACATTTTCAGTTCTAAAGACTAAATAAAATACTACTACTTTCAAAAAATTTTTGGAAAAACGCAGTTCTAAGGGTCTAAAGACACAAAAAAGTGCATAAAACCAAAAATAGGAGTAATATTTTTTAAATGTTTTCTGTATTAATAAATATTATGGATAGGAGCAGAAACACTCGCCGGTGGCGCAGAAATTTTATCTAAGCTCCCAAAAATCGTAAAATTGAATTTTTTTAAACCGTTTTCACCACTGTTAGTTTTTAAATTAAAAATTTCTAAATCATCAAAACTCATTGAAAAACATATTTTTAAAGTATTTTCCTTTGCAAATATTAAAATTTTAACATACTTTTTTGATTTACATGTGTTTTTATTTGTATTGCATGTAAACAAAAAAATGAGGTTTTTTGATTATCTACTTTGATGAAAAAAATTCTTCAATATAGTTTTTGACTGAATTTTGACTGAAATTTTTTTTTGTTTAAAACACTTCTGAGATATTTTCATGAAAAGTTTTACAGAATAGTGAACTGAAACTAGTTTTCTGCTTTGCTAGCAGTTATTTACACTGAAACATATTTGCTCAAGTTGGGTAAGTCCAGGAGAGATAGACCACCTTTTTTTAAAAAAAAAAACTATTTTTAGGTCACAATTCCGGGTGATATTAATGTTTGTGACAAAAAATCTATTGGCAACACTGAATTATTGGTAATCCTTTTAATTTGTTACTTCAAATTGTTTCAGGTGACGGCTAAATCAACAATGAATGAATGACTATTACCTATAAAAGTTTGACGTTTAAATTTGAAAGTCAAGATTGCCAAACTAAAATTTTGCAAATTTGACACTAATTTGAAGTAAAAAATCACAATCATTTACAGTCACCTTGTATAATAATAAAAATTCTAAATTGTCTTTCGCTAGTTTATTCCTTCCGGATTTACCCTACCTAAAGACTAAATAAAATACCACTACTTTCAAAAAATCGATTTTTTTGAAAAACGCACTTCCAAGGGTCTAAAAGCACAAAAAGGTGCATAAACATTCTAGAAAGAAAAAATAGGAGTAATATTTTTAAAATGTTTCTTGTATTAATAAATATTTTGGATAGAAGCAGAGACACTCGCCGGTGGCGTGGTGGCGCAGGAACACGAAATTTCTGCTTCCGACAGAAATTTTATGTAAGCTCTCAAAAATCGTAAAATTGGCTTTTTCAAAACCGTTTTTACTTTAATTTTCGATTTCCTCAAAAAGGCACGCAAAACCATATTTTAAAGTATTTTCTTTTGCAAATATTAAAATTTTAACATACTTTTTAGACTTACATGTGTTTTTATTTGTATTGCATGTTTTTTTTTGTCCTAAAGACTAAATAAAATACTTTTTTTATTATCTACTATGATGGAAAAAATTCTTCAATACAGGTTTTGTCAGAATTTTGTCCGAAATTTTCTATTGTTCAAACACTTCTGAGATATTTTCGTTAAAAGTTTTACAGAACAGTGAACTGAAACTAGATTTACACTGAAACATATTTATTTGTTCAAGTATGGTAAATCCGGGAGAGAGGGACCACCTATTTTGCTGAGAAAACTATTTTTAGGTCATAATGTTTGTGACAAAAAATCTATTGGCAACACTGAATTATTGATAATCCTTCTGATTTATTACATGAGGTGACGACTAAATCAACACTCACTCGTCGCAAATGAATGACAATTGCCTATAAAAGTTTGACCAAGTCCAATCATTTACACTCACCTTGTATAATAATATAAATTCTAAATTTTCTCCTGCTGGCCCATCCCTCCCGGATTTACCCTAAAAATTGTTGACTTAAACCCCGTCACACTTTTAACTTGACCCAAAAACCCGGAAATTGTCTCTAACCCTGACCTTGCTATCAAATTCCTCTCGTCTCGTCTAAACAAAGATCACGTGTCCGTTCCATCCCAATTCCCCGTTTCCACTGTCGCATTATTTAATCCCTCGATTCGCCACCGAACAAATTACCAAAGTCACTTGGAAGCACTGCAAACGAAACTGAGATTTGAACGTTAACAAAGTGTTTATCTGATCCGCTGACCCTCCAATGACTTAATTTGTTTTCGGGCCTCTAAATCGACGATTTAATCGGCGACCCATGCCTCGTTGAGCAATTTTCCAATTCGAGAAAACTAATTTCACTAATTATATGGAATTAATAACAGTTGCCAAACAAAAGTAAAAGTTATGTGGGCTGCTATTGTGAAAAGAATCATTTTTTTTCGTGTTATTGAACCAATTTCGCCGATAACTCGATCCAATCAACGGCCTGCAACAGGGCCGTACCTTAGGGGGGGATTAGGGGTTCAAACCCCCCCGAAATGCTGAGCACTTTGTTATACAGGGTGAATATAAATTATGGAACCAAGCGGTTTTATTTTTAATCATTTGCCTCCAGAAAATAATAATTAAAAAATGTGATCGTATTTTCAGAACGAAATTTTGTTTTGTTTTTGAGTATGCGATTTTTTTTTGTTAAAATTGCAATTTATGTGAAAAAAATTTTTTGAAAAAATTAAATATAAAGCAGATAGTTGTAATCCTTAGAGTATGGCTTTTATGAGAAAAATGATTTTATAGTGGGTTGCTATTTAAATAAATATTTTTTTTGTAGAACTCAAAAACAAAACGAAATTTCGAAAAATTTTATTCTTGTTAGATCATCACATTTTTATAATACTTTATCACTCATCAATTAGTTTTTCAAAAAGTAAATAGTTTAAGGAAAAAACGTTTGGTTCCATAGTTTTTATTCACCTGGTGTAGTGTTATAAGTGTTAAAAATTTAGTTTTTTTGTTATTTTAATGAGTTAATTTTAAATTTTTGTGAATAAATTTTTTATGTGTTAATTATACAGTGTCTCATTTTTATTGTTAGGTACAAATTTAAATAGTTGATAGAATATTTAATTTTAAGATAAAAGTGTTTTGAAAAATGCTATGAAAAGGAGCTACACCCCCTAAAAAAGGTACATTTTTTAAAGGGTTTTTCCTAATATTTCAGAATAGATAAAATTACAAAATTTGGTACCCTTATATGTACACTTATACAAATGCCAAATAACAAAATTTTTAATCAGGGGCGTCCTAAACAGTGAAACAAATTTAATTTTTAATTTTTATGGTCTGTAACATAAATTTTTAAACCGATTTTTACTAAAAATCTGTAAATTGTATCAGAAAAACACAAAAGACCTTTTTTTTTATGAAAAACTATGAAATTTTCTTACTGAAAGTGGCAAGAAACCACAGGCAAAATAGTTAGAGAAAATTTTTACCCTAATCCCATCTAGTTTAGGAAGCACCTAATTAAAAATTTCAACATTTTATTTTTGTACTTGTTTAGGTGTATAAACGTTATCGTCTGCAGCAAATTTTGAAATTTTTTTCTAAAATGATTTCGGAATTATTGAAAAAAAAAACAATTAAAAGACGCACCACTTGCGTAGCATTTTTCGATATATGTTCATAGAAAATTTTTGTTTTTATATTATTCATCTCCTGTTTAAATTTGTAACAATAAAAAGTATTAAAAATTTATTTTATTTTTTGTTAATTTTGTGAGTTAATTTGTATTTTTTATGTTTAATTASTAAGRCTCGGATTATATGCAAAATGCATATTAAGAGGTATATCTAATGTTTTTTGATTAAAATAAGCCAAATAAAAAAATGCATATTTTGCATATTTTGGCAACTTGGTGCATATTTTAGGAAATWTTKCATATTTGTGCATATTTTCTTCAAATCACWAATTTCCGATYAWAAATTTCAGTTCAAGTTAAAAATTGGCCAGTTTMTGAAAAATGATCCGATTACAAAATATTTTAAAGAAAAAACAACCGGTAATTCGTAAGCCAAACTCAAAAAATTAGTACCCTGCTGAGTGTTTCCTTTTTAAATTGTATTGAATCAAGCGGTTTTTTTTTAAATCATTTGTTTCCAAAATATAATAATTAATATAAATTAAAGTAATATAAAAAATGATCTTATTTTAAGAACAAAATTTTGTTTTGTTTTTGAGTTATTCGATTTTTTTTGTCTAAATTGCGATATATGTAAAAAAATAATTTAATATAAAGTAGGTAGTTGTAATCCCTTAGATCACGACCTTCATGAAAAAAATGTTTTTTTTGGGTTGCCATTAAAAAAAATAATATTTTTGTAAAACTCAAAAACAAAGTAACAAAAATTTCGAAAAATTTTATTTTTGATAAAACATCACATTTTTATAGAACTTTATAATTCATCAATTAGTTTTTTCAAAAAATAAATACTTTAGGTAAAAAACGTTTGACTTTTTATTGTTCAAAATTTTGCATATCGATGCATATTTGGTATATATTGGAGCATATTTCTTAATAATATTGTGCATATTTTTGTGAAAATACGTGCATATAAATGCGCATATTTTACGATTTTTTCGTGCATATAATCCGAGCCTTATTAATTAGGATCTCTTATTTCAATTTAAAATAAAAACGTGTACTTAGAGATTTTTGCTTTTTAATCCGTCTTCTTTCATTTCATTTTCATGGCCCAACAAGAAACCCCCCCCTACTCCCCGAAATAAAATCCTGGTTACGGTCCTGGCCTGCAAAGTTTTAATAGAATAAATCGGCAAGGGACTTGGCGTTTTTCTGCGAATTTCCAAGTTTTTAATACCCGAAATGGGGCTTTCGTGTAATTATGCCACATTAGGTGTAATACTCCAAGTTTTTAAGAGGTTTCCGGGTGTGTAAACACTGAAATAGGGCGTAATCCCAACTTTAAATTACTCTATTGTAAGCGACTTTTATCTAATGTTTCCACTCCACATGACGAGGAATGAGGACACGGTGGGATTTGAAGCCATTTTATTAGTGACACAAAGCATAATTTAAAAAATATAATTTCAACAATTGAAAAAAAAAGAAAAAATGGGTTTGTTTCCGCCCGGGATCGAACCGGGGACCTTGTGCGTGTGAAGCACACGTGATAACCACTACACTACGAAAACATATCCATTAACTCCCCACACTTGATACTAATACTTTTTTTATATACATACTTAATAATTATACTTTGAAGAAAAAAAAATACTTTAATTTAAATATTTAATGACATGACAAGATTTGTAATAAATTGGAATTTTAGTTGGGGTGAATTTGAATTAAAATTTCCGAATTGATTAGAGGTTATTCATTTTGCTCTTATCTTAATTAAATTACATAATTTATTCGAAATTTCCAAATCTTAATAAAAAATTTATCGTTTCCACAAGCGCTGAAAGGTAAATTACTGAAACTAATTAAATTTATCTTTGTTGTAACTAATTTGATAAAATTTATAATTACATAAAACAAGTCAAGGGCACGTGCATTATCACTAGTAAAGTTGCATTGATTAAATAATGCAAAAATTAGTTTAAATTTAACAAAATATAGACCACTAATTCTCTTCAGTGTATGGCAATTTGCCTATATTAGTCTCGTTGCATTTAATTGGTTGCATAACTCGCCACTGTCAAATTTCATAATATAAACACAAAAACGTTTCAGCTGTTATTTTTTTAACTATTTTAGGTCACAATACCGGGCTATATTAATGTTTGTGACAAAAATCTATTGGCAACACTGAATTATTGGTAATCCCTTTAATTTGTTACTTTAGAATTTCAGGTGACGGCTAAATGAGCCGTCCTAATACCTATAAGAGTTTGACGTTTAAATTTGAAAGTCAAGATTGCCAAACTAAAATTTTAAATTTGACACTAACTTGAAGTAAAAAATCATAATCATTTACAGTCACCTTCTATAATAATATAAATTCTAAGTTTTTTTTTGCTGGTCCATGTTTCCCGGATTTACTCTATTTTATCAGTCCTAAAGTCTAAATAAAATACTACGACTCTTAAAGAAATATTTAAAAAAAAACGCATTTTTTAGAGTCTAAAAACACAAAATGGTGCATAAAACGTTCTAGAAACAAAAAATAGGAGTAATATTTTTGAAAAGTCTTTTGTGTTATATCACTAGTAAAGTTGCATTTATTAAATAATGCAAAAATTAGTTTAGATTTAAACAAATCTAGGCCACTAATTCTCTCCAATGTATGGCAATTTGCCTATATTAGTGTCGAGGCGTTTAATTGATTGCATAACTCGCCACTACCAAATTACATAATATAAACACAAAAACGTTTCAGCTGTTATTTTTTAACCCCAATCCACTCCCATGTTTAATAAAGCAAGAAGTGGCATAAAACTGGTGCTTTTTTGCGTGTAAATCCCCGGTTTTTTAATCTTTGTATTTGCAGCTTCGTTTTTTTTCCAAAACTTTTGACAATAAGTCACGAATTAATTGTCAATACTTCCATTCTGCGTTGTTTCATAAAGTGGGCTTGCAGATGTACTTGAACTTGAAGTAAAAAATCACAATCATTTACAGTCACCTTGTATAATAATATAAATTCTATTTTTTTTCCGCTGGTTTATGTTTCCCGGATTTACTCTATTTTATCAGTTTTAGAAACTAAATAAAATACTACAACTTTCAAAAAAATATATTCTTAAAAAAACGCATTTTTTAGGGTCTAAAAACACAAAATGGTGCATAAAACGTTCTAGAAACCAAAAATAGGAGTTGTATTTTTGAAAAGTTTTTTGTGTTAATATATGTGGTGTATGATGGATAGATAGGAGCAGAGACACTCGCCGGTGGCGTGGTGGCGTAGGAAAACTAAATTTCTGTTTCGACAAAAATTTTATCGAAGCTAATTTGATAAAAGTTATAATTAGATAAAACAAGTCAAGGGCACGTGCATTATTAAATAAATAATGCAAAAATTAGTTTAAATTTAACCAACTATAGGCCACTAATTCTCTCCAGTGTATGGAAATTTGCCTATATGGCGTTTAATTGGTTGCATAACTCGCCACTACCAAATTACATAATATAAACACAAAAACGTTTCAGCTGTTATTTTTTAGCCCCAATCCACTCCCATGTTTAATAAAGCAAGAAGTGGCGTAAAACTGGTGCTGTTCTGCGTGTAAATCCCCGGTTTTTTAATTTTTGTATTTGCAGCTTCGTTTTTTTTCCAAAACTCTTGACAATAAGTCACGAATCAATTGTCAACACTTCCATTCTGCGTTGTTTCATAAAGTGGGCTCGCAGATGTACTTGAAGCTTCCCAGTGGGGCAAAAATGCCGGTTTTGGGTCTGGGGACTTGGGAGGTGAGCTGTGGTAATTTGGTGCCAAATAATGTTTTTTGGTGATTAGGCAATAAGCGATGAGGAGATCGAAACAGCGGTGAACACCGCACTTGACTTCGAGTATCGTCACATCGACACGGCGTGGGTGTACGAAAACGAGGGGGCTATCGGGAAAGTTTTGAAAAAACGCTTCGCTTCGGGGCTGAAACGGAAGGATGTTTTTATTACGACGAAATTGCCTATGACGGGGGTGCACCCCGAGAGGGTGTCCATGTTCATGGAGAAGTCTTTGGCGAATTTGCAATTGGATTACGTCGATTTGTACTTGATTCATTTCCCTGTTGGTTGTAAATATTACGAGGGGGAGACGAGGCCCAAATTCAACGATAAAGGGGAGATTGAGACTGAGGGGAGGACCGATCATGGGGCCCTATGGAAGGTCCCCTATTGTTCATTTATTTACTCCACTCACTGCTAAAATTGTAGAAAATGGAAGAGTTGGTCGATTCGGGAAAGGCGAAAAACATCGGTTTGTCAAACTACAACATTTCCCAAATTGAAACAATCCTGCAAAACGCCAAGATTAAGCCTGCGGTGCTCCAAGTCGAGCTCCACGTCTATTTACAACAACGCGAACTTGTGGAATTTTGCCAGAAAAACAAAATTGTTGTCGTCGCTTACTCCCCCTTGGGGAATCCCGGGATGAACAAATTCCTGCAAAAACTGGGCCAACAGTACGTTTTGTGGCTGTTTGACGTCTCAAGACCCTTTTTTCCAGGCCGAGACAGTTAGCAAACATCCTGGAAGACCCAGTCGTTGGCGAAATCGCCAAAAAACACAAGAAAACCCCGGCGCAAGTCGCGTTGCGATTCTTGGTACAGAGGGGCTGTGCTGTCATTCCCAAGAGTGTAACGCCGAAAAGGATCGATGAGAATCGCAAATTGTTCGATTTTGTTTTGAGTGATGAGGAAATGAAGGCTTTGCAGGGGCTAGATGTGGGGGAAGCGGCCAGAGTCTGCGATTTTAAGGTTTTTGGGGGGTAATCACCAATTGGGCCATTTTGGCACGTTTCAATGTGTGGGTTTTAGACTTGACAAGCACCCCGACTTCCCGTTCACACGACAGTGAACCTTTTGCCCCCAAAACTGGCAAATTACAGGAAATATAAAATTGTGGTGTAATGCTGGTTGCATACACTCAAAGTACCAATTGAGACTAATTGAATTATTACGCAACAAATAAACTAATTAATGACAAATTGGAGGTGTATTTTATTCAACAACATATTAATTACAGTTTAGTAAATAAAACAATTAATTATATGGAGTAAATGAGTAAAATTTAATTGTATTGTTGGTTGCCTAAACTCAAAGTAGGAATAAATTAAAAATGCATTATTATTAGGTAAGAAATAAATAAACCAAAGATTAGTGTATTTTATTCAACTGCAATTTATAGAATTGATTGTTTTATTATCCAAAACTTCTTTTGCTTAATCCCTAACCTCAAATGTTCCCCGTTACATAACCACACTTTTTTTGGCGGGAAAAACAGTGCTTGTGTTTCACCATGTGTGCGTCCATTTATAACGAAGACAACCTCCCTGACTTGCTCCCCATTTACTACAAGCGTCTTTTCCCCCATTCAGCGCTCTACAAGTGGCTTTGTTACGGTGAGTGGTCTCAAAACGTGAATTTTGCTAAAGTGGCCCCCCAGGTGACCCCGACAAGTTCAACCGGCGCGAAATCTCGTTCACTCTAGTGGGGGACATCTATCTCCGGTACCAGAGCTTTAACACTGTGGATAATTTCGCCCAGGCCCTCCATAGCCGTTTCCCTGTTAAAATCGACATTGGGGCCACTTACAACGAGAAGCTCGAGGGGGGCAACTCGAGTTTCAAAGTCCCGGTTGAGCGAGAGGTCGTGTTTGATATCGACATGACTGACTACGACGCCGTTAGGACTTGTTGCACGGGGGCTGGGGTGTGCCCCAAATGCTGGAAATTTATGGTGATTGCGTGCAAAATCCTGGATGCGAGCTTGAGGGAGGATTTCGGGTTCGAGAACATCTTGTGGGTGTTCTCGGGGCGCCGGGGGATCCATTGTTGGGTCGCTGATAAGAAAGCGAGAATTCTGGATGATAATCAACGGTCGGCGCTTGCCGAGTATTTGACGTTGCTACGAGGGGGCCTCTCGGTGCGGAAAGTCAAGCTTTACAACATGCATGTGGCCACTGAGTAATACTTTGCGTCCCAAGTGCCGCAACACTCAATTTCTCACTTCTAGGAGAGCCTTGAAAGTCATCGATGAGTATTTCGAGAAGTCGATTCTTGTCGAACAAGACATTTTGGGGACTTTTGAGCGGTTAGACGCCTTTTTGGGGAACATTGAGCCCGATGTTAGCCCCCTTTTTCGCGAGGCTTTGACCAAAGTCCACACGTCAGCGGAGCGCTGGCGCGCCTTCGTTGACACTTTCCATACTCTCTACCAGGAGCAAAAAATACCAAAATACTACAAGTATTTAGTCGAAGAAATGAAAATTTACTATGCGTACCCCCGACTTGACATTAACGTCACCAAAAGCCTTAATCACTTGCTGAAAGCCCCCTTTTGCATTCACCCCAAAAGTGGGAAAGTTTCGGTGCCTTTCAAGGCCAAGTTTATCGAGAGTTTTGACGTCGACGCGGTGCCCACTGTTAGGTAATTAACTACACATTTTCAGTGTCGTGTAGTTTAGTTTTGCATCGCATTTTCAGCCAACTTTTGGACGAGGTCAACTCATACGATGCCAAAACTAAAGCCCAGGAGCAAGCTTTAGCTGAAAATTCCCAAACCAGTGTTAAAATAAAAGATTATAAAAAGACGAGTTTGCTGAAATATGTGACAATCTTCTTTGAGTTTTTGAGGGGCTTGCAGGCTTCAGCCGCCCGTGACAGAGCCATCAAAAATGGTAATTTTTATTCCTGAAAAAATTAATTTTATTGTGTTATTTTCCAGGAACTGTGATGGAATATTAAACATTTAATTTGTTTTTTATTACCCTTTTGTTACTAATCTTTAAATAAATAACTTAGATTTATTTGCTTTTTGTTTTATTGTTTTATACCATTTTTACCTTTTACGCGACAAAAAAATAAAAAAAGGTGACTATAAAGGATTTAAAAAAGTGCAAAAAACGATATATTTTTTATTTTGTAAATTTCGTATATTGAAAATTGTTAATGTTTTAAACTATTGGTAATTATGTAAAATGTTTCGGAAAATCGATTGATGTCGAGAAAACCGTGAAATTTTTAATAGTTTAAAAGTTATAGTCGAGTATAGGTATTGCTTGTGTTTGTTTTCATTAGTAATTTGCTTAATAACTAATTGTCACAGGACAATGATCTTTTTTTCATAAAATGGGAAATGTAATTTGCTTTCTAACAATAACAAACACAAAGCGGTTGACCAAAAATTTTTTAGCAAAAACTGAAAAAATTATATAACTTCGAATTGCACTTCTAGAGGAATGGGGGACTCAGAAAAATGCATAAAATCTTGTAGACATGCGAAACATACTATTTTTGAAAAGTTTGTCTATGATTGAATATATTGGGCTACAGCAGAGACACCGACTAGAGACGTGGTGGCGCAGCGCCACAATTTTTTTAATAAAAAATTAAAAATATTTGCATTATTTAATAGATAATTTAAAGCATAGTTTGATATTTTCTTCGTTTTTTGTTCTAATTCTCATATCCTCGGTGCATAAGCATAAGAGAGTATAAGCATAAGAGAGCATAAGCATAAGACAGCATAAGCATAAGCATAAGAGAGCATAAACATAAGAGAGCAAAAGCATAAGAGAGCATAAGCATAAGAGAGCATAAGCATAAGAGAGCATAAGCATACGAGCACAAGAGAGTAAAGCATAAGACAGCATAATAGAACATGAGCATAAGAGAACGTAAGCATAAGAGAGCATAAGCTTAAGAGCATGAACATAGGATTAAGAGCATAAGCTTAAGAGCATGAGCATAAGCATAATAAAACACATTAGAGCTTTCTTATCGCAAAAAATCAAAATGATCTAATTTTTTTTATTTAATAAACTTAATTAGAAAATCTTTTACTTAAATTTGAAACTAAGAGCCAGATTCATAACCTAAAAGTCAGTATTATTTTTTATTTTTATTATTTTTTTAT